CTCTCGCATACCTAAAAAAATATAAAAATTTGAAGTCTAACCTCTCCCAGAAGAAGTCACCCCCCCTCCACCCTCCCCCCTCTTTTCTTTTATTTCTAGTAAAATTAAAGACAGAAACTCTTGTGGGGGGAAGAAAGAGACCTTGAAATATAAATAAGTGTGCGATAGGGGTGGGGGGCCGGGGGGAGCAGGCGAAAGAAAGCATGAAACAGGCCGAGGAGGAGAGATTGGGAGCAAATGGCCCATGAACTGAACCATGATGTAGAGGCATGATCGATGCTGTGGATGGTTTATTCATCCATCAGATATGGCGGCCGGCGCTGAATGCCCTCTTTCACTGTGGGCCCTATGAAGTTAAAGCAAGTAAATTTCTATCTTTCTTCGCATTAGCTGCCTCATTGCTCTTCAATCAGCCCTCACGGAGGCAGAAAATGGCTCCACCATCTGCCTCCACACCCTCCCTTCGACAGGTCTCCGGCTTTTTTGGGCGAGGGGGAGGGGGCCCAGGCCCCCGAAGCTGTCTCCCCAGCTCCTCCCCAGGGGGCCGGGCAGCTCAGGGAGCAACGTGTCTCCCAGGCCCCTCATTTCTGGGTTCAGAGGATAACCCGCCCCCCCAACGCACATCAGATCCAGAGACGCACGGGGGACCTGGGGCAGCCGGGAGCCGCGGCCAGCAGGGCCCCCACCCTCAGAGGGCCGGCTGCTCCATGCGCCGTGGCGGCGGGAAGGTCTCCCCCTGGGCCCACCCAGCCCAGCCTGTCCTGATGGAAGGGGACGGTGGTCACTTCCTCCCAAAGGTCCTGCGGGGGGAGGCGGACCCCCAGCCCCAGGACTGAGGCCGTGCCCCGTGCCATGGGCAGGCCGGCGGCTTTCAGACGCTTAGTAGGGCGGCGCTGTGGTCCCCCACTGCGTGCAGGAGCAGCCGGAGGCTCAGAGGCCGAGTGACTTGCCCAAGGTTGCAGAGCAATGGAAGCAGACTTGGGGTTCAGACCCGGGTTTCTGACCTCTGGGACCCACACATGAACCTTCCCGCCTTGACCGGGTGGCGGAATCCTTAAAGAGACCCTCTCTGACGCTCACTTGTCCGCCCACTGTCCTCACTAGGCAGGAGGCCTGGGAGGTGGGGGAGCTGCCAGTCACCCAGGGACTTGCCCCCCACCAAGGCTGCTCTCAGCTCTGCGCCCCAGTCCCGAGGGGAGAGCCCACCGGCCGCTGGGAGAAGGATGGGGAGCGCTTTCCCAGCATGCTCGGGGCCCTGCAGGCTGGAGGACACCCCTGCCTTGAAGCTGCTCTGCCCCCTCAGCCTCCCCCGCCCCCCTGGGCGCTGAGTGACTGGCTAATTAGGGGTGGCTGGCCTGAGTGTCGGGGTCAGCAGAGCATGAACTGGAAAAACCTGTGGCCAGCAGGCAGCAGCCTCATGGGGCCATCGGCCTCCAGGGACAAGGGTGCGAGCCTGTCTGGAGTGACACCGTTGGGTTGACGGAATGAGGGGTGGGGGAGCTGTGGCAGTGGGGGAACCACAGAGGCCAGAGGGCCAGCTCCTGCGATGGGGTGACCTGGCACCTACCCCCTGGCAGGGCCTCGGTTTCCACGTCCATACGATTAGGGTGCTCACAGCCAGAACCAAGGAAAGTAAGCCAGAGACTGGCCCAACCCAGGCCTGGCTCCAGAAGCCGCCACTGCACACGCTGTACTCTCGCCAACACA